CGAATGGAAACGATGAGTTTGGAGTGACTTGGAGAGTGACATGGAGGAGATGAAAGCTTATAGGCAATAATAGTGGAGCCACCTAAAGAGTACAACAGAGAACAGGATGAAATAGAGGTGTGCTGTTGAAGCCCTATGTTCCCCCCTCAAAACCCAAGGGAATAATAGTGTACTAATAACAAATTGAATACAACATGACAGTTGAATGTGGAGATATGACTCGTTAGCTTAAGCATTCAACTTTCAGGTTCGAGATATTAGGTAGTATCACCCGCTCTCAAGCTCGTATCCGGGCGCATGAGAAATCCGTTCCGAGTAACTAAGCTCTGACGTCGGAAAAACCCCACATTTCTTAATGGGAAGTACACATAGACAGTCAAATCATACAACCAACCACAAGCCGAATAAGGAGTATGCCATAAAAATGAGCATACACACACAAAAAAGGGAATAGAAACAAACCAACATCCAACTAATCGGTACATTTATATCAGGAGAGAAAGAGAGAGATATATATGAGCAGTTTATGCAAGAAGCAATAATTAAATGGGAAAATTGAAATAACCAGTGTAATATGGTGAAGAGGGAGGAAAGAATAGGATATATTAGAAGATAATATAGTAATTAAAAGGTAAGTAAATATCATTTTTCTCCGTTTTATATCACACACAAAAAATGATGAGTATTATTATTAGTAGTAGTATTAGTATTCTCCTCCTTAGTGAGGCAATTACTTTTTTCTCATCATTCCATTAATGTCAATGAAATAATATATAGATGATATCAACTGAATTATAATGTAAATTCACATCTAATCCCTTTCAAAAAAAGGAAATAATAATATTAGATAAGGAACAACTATAAAGTCTATAATCTTGAATGAACCTATTCTGGATTCTTTCATATACTTATATACCTAAATGGCGTCGTGGAAAAAAAACACAACTGAAACTTACTCCGTTAGGACTAACAACAACACAACGTGATCATGCTGTTATTTGCATCGTATTTTGACTTCGATTTTTGAACACAAACTGACTTCAGTTAGAGAACCACTGGAAAGCATGGTGTATTGGACAAGTACATTGCACTGATCAAGGCACTCTACTCAAACTCACGTAGCCGTGTAAGGGCTTATGGGAAATTGTCATCTGAATTGTTAACAACCAGTGGTGTCCGTCAAGGATTTCCACTTTCCCCATTCCTGTTTAGCTTCATCATAGATATGCTAATGGAAGTATCCTTAACTGAACTTAACGACTTAGGAATCGACTTGTTACCAGGGAATAGTCTTATGGACTTAGAATATGCAGATGACATAGTCCTGTTAGGGGAGGATGCTGACAAAATGCAGAGTCTTCTGAACACCTTGAGCAGCAATCTTCGTATGTTTGGCATGCGATTCGCCCCTGTAAAATGTAAGATGCTGCTACAGGAATACTGGACTACGTCAACTCCTAGCTTAGTGATAGGGAGTGAAGTGATGGAACATGTTGACCACTTCACCTATTTGGGAAGTTGTATCAGCACCAACGGATTGATTGGTGACGAAATCTCAGCACGGATCCAAAAAGCTCGGGCTGCTTTCGCTAACTTACACCATCTCTGGCGTAGGCGTGACATCCGACTATCAACCAAGGGACGTGTGCACTGCTCAGCAGTTCGCTCCGTCCTTCTCTATGGCTCTGAAACATGGCCAATACGAGTTGAAGACATGAAAAGGTTGTCTGTTTTTGATCATAGATGTTTACGATCTCTTTCTCACGTTAGGTGGTATAATAAGGTAAGTAATGTTGACGTTAGGCGTAGAGTGTTGGGCAAAGACGGAAAATCAATCGACGAGGCTATAAAGTTACATAGATTGAGATGGCTAGGTCACGTGCTGCGCATGCCTAACCATCGTCCCCCACGACGGGCATTACTAGTTGATATAGGTGCAGGTTGGAAAAGAGTAAGTGGTGGCCAAACAAAAACATGGCATCAATCAATCCATGAAATCCTTCTTTGACAGTTAAACTGAGTCAGGTAGGGAGATGCAGACTTCCGGGTTGGGGCCCTCGGGACTCTAAGAATCAATGGCTGGAGACAATAGGTGACATGGCTCAAAATCGTTGTCAATGGCTTACGCAGATGTATCCAGTCTCTGTAATCTTTCATATTCCTTTCTACCATTACTCATTCTGTTTCACTCTTATACTTATCAAAACTCTATTGATTCTCTTCTCTCATTTTCCTGTCTACCTTTGTGTGCTATTTGGAACGTGGCAACTCGAACTGCTGCACTTCGGTGCCAAGTCCTATGTTGAATCCAGACAGACAGTACTGGACAACTGTTGTTGTTGTCGTCCCTGTTCATCAGTACACACCAATGACACTACAAGCCAGGGATCGGACCCAGGACCTATAGGTTACAGTGCGAGCTCGTTTAACTAGGTGGGGGGGGTAATGAGTACGCACAGCTGGAGAGTTCCAAACAAGAACGAAACAGCTGTTCAGTAAGTAAGTACTCTTTGGTTCTCTAACTGAAGACAGTTCGTGACCTAACTGGAGATCAATCATATCCCTGCTTACGAATACGTAGAAATCATATTTTATTGTTTTCCTCCAATAGTAGGAAGGCATGCCCTGGTAACTGGATATTTTTTTCATCTCTCTTTCATCCGAATGCGAAATACTGAAAAGTTCCCATTGTGTATGATTATTATTGTTCGGAATAGTGTTTAATATTGCATATACATATATATATATATATATATATATATATATATATATTACTGTATGCATATGTCGATCGATTGATTTTTGTTTAAAATGAACTCTGTGTAAGTATGTTGAAACTGCTTTTGTAGATACATTTAATAATATCTTTGCCTTGAAAGAAGCTGACGAGAAGGCAACGAAATAAACAATGATAGACCATTTTATTCTGCTAAAACTGTAGTTCTTGCTTTATTCAAATTCATTATAAGAGGAATGAATGTATGAAAGAAAAGCAAGTACTGATGTCATGTCAATCCATCATGCGAAGACTGATGTTTTCTAACTTTTAGCATTCAGCGGACATCATCTGATTGAACAGTATTCATCATCACATCTACTATAAGTAACTGATTACGCCCTATAATAGTTTGATTTGATTTTTAGAAGCCTAGGTTGAAGTGCTTCTGTCTACACCAAGTAAAATTTTGAGTCGCATCATACTGGAGAGGATAAAGGACGCACTGGATACAGAACTCCGATCAGAACAAGCTGGGTTCAGGAAAGGCAAATCATGTTCTGACCAAATTGCAACTCTACGCATCATCATCATCGAACAAAGCATGGAATGGCAATCAAACCTCTACCTCAACTTTCTTCATAGACTTTGAGAAGGCCTTCGACAGCGTTGACTGCGAAGTGATTTGGAAACTACTCAATTACTACGGCGTAACCCAAATATTCATCGACCTCATTCAACAGCTGTACGACAACGGCACATATCAAGTGATCCACAACGGAAAACTCAGCGAAGAGTTTGGAGTAAACACAGGAGTCAGACAAGGGTGCTTATTATCACCAATGATATTCCTAATTGTGGTGGACTGGATTATGCGTCAGACAGTGGGAAACGAGAAGACAGGGATATCCCGGAGCGACATGAAATACCTAGAAGACCTGGATTTCGCGCGTGGATGATTTATGTTTGATGTCAAACAATATTGAAGAATTACAAGCGAAAACCGACAAACTGGTCGAAGAAGCAGCCAGCGAAGACAGGACTCCAGGTGAACATAGACAAGACGGAGGTTATGAAAACAACCAACCAACAACAACAACAACAACAGCAGCAGCAAAATCCAGCGCCAATCACCATCAACGGGAGAGATTTGAAAGAGGTTATATCATTCACTCACTTATCTAGGGAGCATTGTCTCAACTACAGGCAGGTGGAACGGACGAGGATGTCAAATCGAGAATCGGGAAGGCGAGAAACACATTCATCAACCCGAAACCAATCTGGAAATTTTCGTCACTCCTCAACATCAACAACAAAATGATTCGGATTTTCAATACAAACGTCAAGTCAGTCAGTTCTTCTATACGGATGGATCAGAAACTTGGCGGGTCACAAAGAATGAGTATTTCCAACAGCCTGTTGCAGACCTTTATCAACAACTAACTGTCTTCACTGGCTCTATACTCAAGATCAGACGACCGGAAAAAATCACCGACAAGAAACTATGGGAACAAACAGAACAAGAACCAATCGCCCAACAAATATGCAGGAGAAAGTGGAGATGGATTGGACACCTGGTGAGCTGAGGAGGCCGCTGGGTGACATCGCGCGTCAGGCCCTCGAGTGGAACCCGAAAGGGAAGCGGCGAGTGGGACATCCAAGGGTGACATGGAGAAGATCGTGTGAAGAAGAGTCGAAATAGTATGGACTAACATGGATGCAAGTGAAAAGTACAGCAGAAGACAGAAGCAAGTGGAGGCGTGCAGCTGAAGCCCTATGTTCCACTAGGAACCCAAGGGAACAATAATAATATAGGTTAAACTGCTTACACAAGAATGGAGAATGACAGAGGTATACACGCCAGTAAATATCCTACAAGGTGAACTGTCGCAAATAATAAACAAAATAAACACCTAGGCAGCTAGCTAGCTAGCTATGATACGTGCAAACAGATTTATGACAGATGAGACTCAATGCCACATAGAGGAAAACCAAGATTACATAGATTAATGTGCCGTCTTCAGTTTCATTAGGGAATATGCAACGATGTGCCATGATCATTTTTCCTCTCTCTCTCTCTTTTCCAAAGCTACAACTGGTTGGTGATCAATTTATGACACAGTACTGTGAAGTACAACATAATCGTGCAAGTTAGAAAGACAATCACCACCATTCGTGTATCAAAACGATTTGGTTTAATAATTTTTGTTGCGTTGAATAATATATACGCATGTATACAACATGGATTAGGAACATACAAAGGTTAATTAAGCAGGAAACTTACTTCACCAAAAGCGCCTTTTCCAATTATTTTTAGAGGTAGAAAATCGTCAACTGTCAGTCGCGCCCGTTTCAATCGAAGGAATTCACTTTCTTTCAATGCATGCTGTGTACGCTTGATTTGTTTCTGTATTGTGTGTTGCAGTAGAGAAAAAGGCACACAAACACAAAACACTGATGAAAGTTTTTAAACATATTAACAAGCACTAAAAAAGTATATATATATATATATGCGTCAACTACTTTACTCATTCGCTGTAAATCTTTAAATTAATACAATGCCTCCAATTTATTACGTAATTCTCAGAGTATATATGTGTATATATATCGAAAGGAAATTGATATTATCCATTTCCTGTGTTTCTTTTTCTTTACTCTATGATTAACTTTCGCTCTCTCTATTTCTTCTTAATCAAGAATAAATTCCACCTAGTTGTGCATAAGCAACCATTGAATAACACAGTTTTCTAATTATTGATGGATTATAGAAACCTGGTAAATTTCGAGTTGATTCCCATCCAAGAAAATCAATAAGAATATCTCTTCTAAGTATAATCAAAGTAAAACACTTGTTTTCCAATGGGTTGACAGAATCTTTAAGTTGCTATATCTACACATCAACCTAACAATCATAAAACAGGTCACAGAGTTACTTCCAATGCTCTCAAAATATCTAACCAGATAGGAATCTGAAATTAATTGATTTTTCGCACTTTTCATTCCCAAAAAGATCAGATAATACTTACGAGGTGTAGCTAATTTTGTGAAAACAAGCTACGAATTTCCTATTTAGCCTGGACAAATACCTTTTTGAAGATTGTTATTCAAGTTGATGGTTTTGAGGTCCGTCTGGTCCGAATTATTATTATTATTATGCAATGACACTATTGGAGCAATAAACAAGTATTACCATTTTTTTATTTATTTTGATTACAGCTTGATTCCACACCCTATTTTCAGTACAAGTATGGAATTTTCAGCATGGATATCGGTAGCCCAAATTTCAGGCCGACCATAGATATCGGGTGTGCGCCGGCAGGGAATCGAACCCGGGCCTTCCACGTGACAGGCGGAGATACTCACCACTATACTATCGAGGAGCATCTAGTCTTAGTGTTGTGTTGCGGTTTGGTATAGTTAAGTACACCTGTAACAACTCGACTATTGCTTGCAGTAATGACTTGGAATTCATGATCTACAAGAGTTGACTTCAATGATGGTGATGATAATAATAAGTCAAGACCTATCCATGGTAAGTACGAAAATGTATCTCGTATTAGAAATGTGAAAGCAATATTCCGTGCCCAAACTTCACAACACACCTCAGGTTTAGACTCTTCTCCATTTTCAAGAAAAAGTTGGAATAGCAGAGGTGTAATGAAAAACGGCTTAGGTATTCCATCACAACCCCTTGTCACTGCTGACGTGACGTGACGTGTTGATAATGTTAATTCAGTCAATTACCCATGGATAACCTTACACGATGTAACAGAGTTCAACTCTCATGTGTTTGAGGAATTCGGCTTAAATTATGGATAAGAGGATACGTAGGGGAAAGTCAGCATTTCAAAACTTCGTGGACGAGGACAACGTCATCCATACGAGTGTCCGGACTGGACTACTCTGCCAGTTTACGCCGTCTCTGGCGTAGACGTGATATCAGGCTGGTTGTCGACCGAAGGGTGGGTGTACTGTTCAGAAGTCCGCTCTGTCCTCCTTTAAGACCGTGAAACCTGGTCATTGAGAGCGGAAGACATGAAAAGATTAGCTGTCTTTGATCATAGGTGTCTGCGTTCTATCTCCCGTGTGAAGTGGCATAATAAGGTGAGCAATATTGAGGTTAGGCTTCGGTCGAGTGCTAGGTAAGGAGGGGAAATCAATAGATGAGGCTGTGAAGCTACATCGACTGAGATGGTTAGGACATGTGTTACTCATGCACGCCTAGCCATCGCCTTCCTCGACAACGAGCAATGTTAGCTGACATAGGGTCAGGCTGGAAAAGAGCTAGCGGCGGTCAAACTAAAACAGAGCCTCATCATTCAATGAAATCCACAACAGTTAGTTTAAGCCAGCCATGAAGGAAGATGTAGACTTCCTGGTTGGGGTCCTCGGGACTGTAAATACCAATGGCTGGAGACAATTGGTGCTATGGCTCAAAATCATTGTCAATGACGCAGATGCATCCACTCCTTGTGACTTATAATGTCCAATGAAATTATATTGTTCTTCGTTATTACTATTCTTTTTGTCTCATATCCTTGTCTACTGTCTCTATTTTGCATTTCTTCTACTTTCTTCTCTTGCTTTGTGTGCTACAAGGAGCGAGTGTGGCGACTTGAACTGCTGCACATCAGTGCAAAGTTCTATGTTGAAAACAGACAGACGAACGTCCGGTAGTCAATAATGATCATGATAGTAAAATTCGAGATCCTAAGACTTAAAAATATGCCCAATGGTGGGCCGGTAGCCAAATAGAATAGGTATGCATTTATGATCACTTAAGATTGATTTATGAAAAAATTAAGACCGTGCATCAAAATGTTATCACTAGTTATTTATTTGAAGAGGATATTTAGGCAAAAATCACACTAGAATAGTACGAAAAATATCACGACATTTGTAACTTTAGGTCGAAATATTTAGCATCAAATTAAACTGTCTCTACATAACTCATGTAAAAATAGCTTAGCACAGCTTAGTTTACACACGGCTAACAGTATGAACAGTGTTAAGAAAGTTAACATAAGAAGATAGTGGTATTAATGTGCACCATTTCTCTCAATAATAATAATAATAATAATAATAACAACAACAACAAAACTCTTAATCACTGGATTACAACTCATCAGCTTAAATGTAATTCCCTGAAATAAACAAATGCCTAATCTTTCTTTACTAAATTTATAAGCGAAATTGTCTAGACGATATAATACACAGGTCAAGGTTTACTTGAAAGACAAACCTTGTTACAGAGTGTTTTGAAAATAATGGACAGTATTTTCAGTAAATCGAACAAACACATGATCTTTTCACACAGAAAGGTTTTGAAAAATCATCTTAGATGTTATACTTATCAAAAATAACTATTAGACATTCTACTGAAATATGAATGACTATTGAACATGTTGAACACAAATAACTAATTGGGTATTGAGTAATTTGAGTAGATCACTTTTTCAAAACAGGATGTTTGTGTCCTGTCTTCCGTGTTGAATGATATAATATAATGAGTAATATTGTAGTTATATATAGAATATCAAGTAAGGAGTATAAGGCATTCAATGAAGCTTTGACGCCATATCTTTGAGTAAGATAGCTAGTGTAACAACAAAGGGCGAGACACGGAAACCAAGGTATATTTTCAAGTTTACATTCTTTAACCACTCACTGAGCGTGTGATTTCGGTTTACATAAGACGACATGAAAATAGCATGTTCAAATATACATAGTATTCTGTCGCCAGTGCAGCATTCTGTCTCTAGCATCAAATAGAATGCTTAAATAAGTATATCGTATTCTGTTGCTAATGCCGAATTTAACTGTGGGAATATGTGAGAATAATATTCCGTTGGCACACATTGTCTGTATCACACCACCACACTAGGACAAGCGTTACGCATGTTGAGCCAGTGTACCTTCTTCGTCGAGTAATGACGGCTGATAGAGGATTAGGTTGGAAAAGAGTTGAAGGTGGTCAGGTCAAAAAATGTTATCAGTTCATGAAGCCTTTAGCTACTGGTTTGAACCCTGTAGAATGTTTGCCTAGATGAATTCTTCGAGTTGATAGGAACTAATGGGTCCACAGTGACGTAGATGCATTGACTCGTTGAAATTTCCCATATTCTCAAGAGTTGGTTTGTAAGGATTAGATTTGTTTTCTCGAGTTTGACCACGGATTGATATCATTTAGGGAACCATTGAAAACTAGGGAGTACTGGACAGTCATCTGTTTCATCCTAGTTTGGGAATCATCGGCAGTACGCACCCACTGGACGGGGTTTGAACTCAGGACCTTCCGGTTACAGGGCAAGCTCGTATACCATTTAGCCACTGGGACCCGATTCAACGGTCAGCCCATGAATTCTAACTTCTAACAATTCGTGATTTAGTGCGACCACCAACTAATGTCATCGATGGGAAATCCATCCTCACACTTGACTGGATGGACTTGAATTGGGTTCCAGTCGTTGAATGGTATACGAGCTTGCCTTGTAAGCGGAAGGTCCTGGATTCTCCCATATTCATTAAATCCTAGGGAGTGTCCCTACAATAGTGAAAGGGTAAATACCGTTTTCTATAATTTTTGCATTTACGGTTAGTTTTTCTTCCCAAACCAGTCCGTTTTTACTTAAAGTTTTAGACTATATCATAGTCTGTATCAGTATGAGTCCTCAGAATAAACCATCGCCAGACAAAAGAAGTCAATCTACTTCTGAACACATTTCTTAAGTAACACAATATATGTACGTCTATAAATTTAGATATATTGACTTCAATAAATGATATGACAGTTTAACTTGGTTAATGATACAGGTTCATTGTAAGACAATTTATTCAGTATAACACCTTAATATGACAATTAGAAACTCAGTAAATAAATGTTGCTCAGTGGGAACTCAGTTATCTGGAACAGATTTGTTTAATTGGTGCGCTACAATGTACCAAACTGGCTGTGTGAAGACTGATTACATCACCCAGTCAACCAAGGTGAAGTAGGTTGAGTAGGCTTGATCACAAGACCCAAAATTGGTTAAAAGTCTAATGATTAAGGTAGAGAGACAGATTTTCACTAACAAATATATAATACAGCACTGTTATTTAATGCAGTTTAATAAGTGTTTTCAAACAAACAAATAACCATACAGTTATCAAACAGAAATTGTAAATACACGTATTGACCAAATGTGCAAGGCCAGAGATACTTACTTTACTTTACTTTACTTCGGCTATCTCCTACGGGAGGATGAGCCGGCTTCATGAACATGAGAGTTCATGAAGTTTCATGGGAATTTGGTACGAGTGATGTCCCCAGAATCGCTCGGCCTTTTGTTTGAGAGTGCAGCTCTAGCCTTTACACAACCAAGTGTGACCTACAAGGCAGTAGGGAGTCCACTATCCATTGGCAGCCGGTGACCGCAGTTCGGTTCATACGCCTTTTTGAATGGGGCCAGACATCCAGGACATCCAACAAGCCCTTTGTCCATACGTCTGCCGGTGAGCTCCAGTGAGCTTCATACGCCAGTCGTTGGAGGTTTGGAATCAGGGTTTAGCCATCTCCCCTAGACTGTCATCCAATGGACAGTCAACCCGGTGAAGAGCGCCGGGCATCCGCTTTCGCCCTCTCACTTTGGTGAAAAAACACCTCCACCACGTGAAGGCAGTGAGTAGGACTTCCTCAGGAGAGGCTATGTAAGACGCCCGGTCATATGGGAGCATTTCAAGAGGTGTGCGGAGGGTTGGCCAACCCGCAGCGCAAGGCACCCACCCCCGACCATCCTGAGGCTTTGGAGGCAACGCGGTGTGCGTCGGCCGGTTTGCACCGATTTGCAGCAGTTCGAGTTGCCACACTCCATCCATGTAGCACACACAGAGCAAGATAAGAGAGTAAGAAGAGATGATAAGCAGAGATATGAGGCAAAAAGAATAGTAATATGGAAGAACAATACAGTTCTATTGGATATTATATATCACAGAGTGAATGAATCTGTGCCAGCCTTTGAGAATGACTTTGAGCTATATCACCAGTTGTCTTCATTGGTTTGATTCTTAGCATCCCGAAGACACCGATCAGGAAGTCTGCACCTCCCCACGTGGATGGCTTAAATTAATTATTGTGGATTTCATTGACTGATGAAGCCATGTTTTAGTTTGACCGCCGCTAGCTCTTTTCCAACCTGATCCATCCTATATCAACAAACATTGCCCGTTGTTGAGGAAGGTGATGATTAGGCGTGCATGAGTAACACATGTCCTAATCATCTTAATCGATGTAACTTCACAACCTTGTCGATTGATTTCCTCTCCATACTAAACAACTCGACCGAAGCCTTATTAAAGCACTTCACACGGGAGATGATAGAACGCAGACACCTGTGATCAAAGACAGCTAGTCGGTCTTTTCTTATCTTCCACTTTCACTGGCCAGGTCTCGCAGCCATAAAGGAGGACGGAACGGACTGCTAAGCAGGTCACACGCCCTTTGGTCGACAACCAGTCTGATATCACGTCTACGCCAGAGATGGCGTAAACTGGCATATACGAAACAAGTTTTCTGTATCCATGCTGAGATTTCGTCAGCGATTAATCCGTTGGGGCTTCAGTATCTCTGGCCTCCAAAGCCTCAGGATGGTCGGGGGTGGGTGCCTTGCGCTGCGGGTTGGCCACCCCTCCGGACACCTCTTGAAATGCTCCCATATGACCGGGCGTCTTACATAGCCTCTCCTGAGGAAGTCCTACTCACTGCCTTCACGTGGTGGAGGTGTTTTTTCACCAAAGTGAGAGGGCGAAAGCGGATGCCCGGCGCTCTTCACCGGGTTGACTGTCCATTGGATGACAGTCTAGGGGAGATGGCTAAACCCTGATTCCAAACCTCCAACGACTGGCGTATGAAGCTCACTGGAGCTCACCGGCAGACGTATGGACAAAGGGCTTGTTGGATGTCCTGGATGTCTGGCCCCATTCAAAAAGGCGTACGAACCGAACTGCGGTCACCGGCTGCCAATGAATAGTGGACTCCCTACTCCACTCCTACTGCCTTGCAGGTCACACTTGGTTGTGTAAAGGCTAGAGCTGCACTCTCAAACAAAAGGCCGAGCGATTCTGGGGACATCACTCGTACCAAATTCCCATGAAACTTCATGAACTCTCTTAGTTGGATAACCCTGTCGCAAAACGTTGCATCAGATCGGCGCTCTTGGGCAGCGATGATTCGAGGTGTTCATGAAGCCGGCTCATCCTCCCGTAGGAGATAGCCGAAGTAAAGTAAGTAAGAAGTGGGTAATATCAGTAAATAATACATCAACAGATACTTTTAAATTTGGCTTCCTTAAACAAAATATAAGGAAATTCTAACGGAATGTGTTGTAGGATTGATGGGCAGTAAGTAATATGCACTTTCTATCAAACCAAGATATTTTGATTATACTCAGTGTTTTCGACGATCTAGATAACATTTTTCGAATAAATTGTCTGAGTGCAATTATAAATCGATACTTCTATTTCTTTTCTTTTTTTAAATATTCATTTTTTTTTAAAATTCAAACTGAAACACAAAAATGCTCAGTGTAATGGTAGTAGTAACAATAGATGCTTTTTATTTGTTTGTTTATGAATACACATACTAACAACAAACATGTTTATTATGTGTACACATTGTTTGCATCTTCGTTGACTATGACTCATTTGTATGTTACAAAAAAAAAAAAATAGTGGTTATGCTACAACAATGACCTCAATATTTGACAAAAGAATTCAAAAATGTATAAGTTAACAAAATAACTCTCAGAAATTTTTTTACGAACAAATGTTTAATGGATAAGAAATAGCTAGCTGTACAAAACCAACGGCTGGGTTATGGATGATATGTGGTGATAAAGAAATTCACAGGTTTATATATTAAGTATGTGTCAGTGAGGAGACTTCGAAACGTTAAGGATATACGTTAAGGCACCTTCGTCTCTTAAAAGTTTAGCCAGGATGGAATATATGTGCCATAGATTCCGCTGCTATTCACCAAGGGAAGTTACCAACCAAACCTAAAGGGAGGAGGCGTGTAATCAACAGAATAACGTGTTTTCGACCCGGTAGATTTATCAGCCCTACTGTGCAGTGCTGTTAATCATCAATTCGCCCCTGTGAAATGTAAGATGCTGCTACAGGACTGGACTACGTCAACTCCTAGCTTAGTGATAGGGAGTGAAGTGATAGAACATGTTGACCACTTCACCTATTTGGGAAGTTGTACCAGCACCAACGGATTGATTGGTGACGAAATCACAGCACGGATCCAGAAAGCTCAGGCTGCTTTCACTAACTTACACCGTCTCTGGCGTAGGCGTGACATCCGGCTGTCAACCAAGGGACGTGTATACTGCTCAGCAGTTCGCTCCGTCCTTCTCTATGGCGGTGAGGCGTGGCCATTGAGAGCGGAAGACATGAAGAGATTGTCTGTTTTTGACCACAGATGTTTACGATCTCTTTCTCGCGTTAGGTGATATAATAAGGTAAGTAATGTTGACGTTAGGCGTAGAGTGTTGGGCAAAGAGGGAAAATCACTCGAAGAGGCTATAAAGTTACATAGATTGAGATAGCTAGGTCACGTGCTGCGCATGCCTAACCATCGTCTCCCCCACCCCGACGGGCATTACTAGCTGATATAGGTGCAGGTTGGAAAAGAGTAAGTGGTGGCCAAACAAAAACATCGCATCAATCAATCCATGAAATCCCTGACAGTTAAACTGAGTCAGGTAGGTAGGGAGATGCAGACTTCCGGGTTGGGGCCCGGTCTCGGGACTCTAAGAATCAATGGCTGGAGACATTAGGTGACATGGCTCAAAATCGTTGTCAATGGCTTGCGCAGATGTATTCAGTCCCTGTAATCTTTCATATTCCTTTCTACCATTACTCATTCTGTTTCACTCTTATACTTATCTAAACTCTATTGATTCTCTTCTCTCATTTTCCTGTCTACCTTTGTGTGGTATTTGGAACGTAGCAACTCGAACTGCTGCACTTCGGTGCCAAGTTCTATGTTGAATCCAGCAGCAGCAGTTAATCATCAAGTAGAATGAAACCACGTAAAGTACCGTTGCCAATGCACCTACTACACAGCTAATCCTAATTACTGGATGTCGGAAGCGAAATTAGTACTACCAACCCTGACACTATTTATTGCAGTTAAGGATATATATTCATCCAAGAAAGCAAGACACACATACGCTTTAGAAGACAAATTTATCTTTATTAGCAAGATATGTCACGTTCTTTTAACTATCCGTAGGCAAAATAACAAATGAAGGGTAAGGATGAAAACGAAATCGTCGAAGACGAACAATCGTCTCACTCATAATGTTCAAATCATCGAAATGTGTTGCCAACTGATTACTATTTTGTTAACATATATATAGTAGGGTACTTCAAAATCTAGTAGGAAGATTGACAAACATTCATTGTTATACTTATCAGTTGTATACTCTATATGGCGTAAATAATTTCCAACTATTTCACTATATGCACAAACTGATGATGCATAATACACTTTCTAAAATCTATCCATCTATCTCCAAAACGACAAATTTTCAATAAAAAGTAGTCAAAATTATTTTAATTATAGAAGCACATATGACAGTCACTTACTTGTTCTTCGCTTAAGCCTTCACTTTCCATCATTGATTCCAGAATTTTATACCTATATAGGGATTAAAAATAAAAAGGGAACACTTCCATCATTACATGTGAATTAAGTCTACATACAGCAGATGACGTTAATCACAACCAACAGCTGGAGACAAACCATGTCATTGACTAGTTATATCAATAATGAACGCTTATTTTTAAATAAACATTAGGAAGGTTTATCATAATGTGACGTGATAAATGTTAAGTAGAATATGACGTATGCGTCGGTGGCACAGCGGTTAGGACACTCATTGACCATGCACCTGGTCGGAGGTTCGATCCCCGGCCAAGGCACCCACTTTCCTCGCCACACCAATAATAAGACTAGTAAGGAGGGAAGGTTGGGCATGAGGCTAGCTAGCAACTCCATCCTGCAAAAATAAACAGTGACCACTGCTACAGAAACTTCAAGCCTCTAGCTTGAAGCCCTATGTTCCACTGTGAACGTGAAGGAATTAATAATAATAATAATAATAATAATAATAATAATAATAATAATAATAATATGACGTAACAATCTCTTCCTAGCCAGTATCACCATTGTACTGTCGAAGAAAGGCTTTATAAGGCAAACTAAGCACTTGAACTTAACGCAGTATCATGCTTAAAGTTATTCAGTATATAGCATAAACATATAAGTAGATGTGGACCCATGGGATAACCCTTCTAAACTTCTATTTAGTTAGAGAAAAATGTAAAATATGTTAAAAGTAACTACCAGAATAAGTAAATGGGCAATTTATTTACACAGTACATACATCATTTTAATGCATTACAAGTTGTATGGACTTTGGATATCCATCTGATAGGAAGCTAAAATTACGGTAACTGTCCTTTAATTTTTACAAATAGGACTTGATCATAGATGACAGCAGTTTCCATATAATCAAAAACAAGGAAACATCAAGTAGAACAACGCTTAATTAACAGGTCTGACCAACACCTGAGGGCATACAGTTCAAGGAGACTAATGCATATAGTAGAAAAAATACGGGAAGTTCACATTAGCATAATTTTTGTCTAAATTACACTCAACCACATGAAAATACAACGTAAGTCCTTATTTCACTAGGCGAACCAATACTTTAAGGAGGTAAGTGGAACAGAGGTGCATCGATTAAAGCAACCACTATTGATCCCAGTACATAACGAGATAAACAAAGCATGACACTATAAAGTGAATGAAAAGGGATAATCATTGGCAACTTCAGAAAGCATAACAACTGGCCACACCAGCTTTAAAAAGGGAGGGAGGTTTACTCAAACTATCATACATTAGTATTCTCATACCCTGAACTTTAAAATAAACATAAACTCCACGGTGTCTTATAACACATTACAATTATACAAAAGAATAATCTTACAACCAGAAATTAAATTTCTGCATGACCTCTAAAGTAAGGGGATAGAATTTGATGGGAATGTAAACATTACAAAAATATGGACTAACCTATTTTGACGTTCTCGATATTGAACAATCAAATTATCGTAATAATATTCCAATGTAACTTTGGCAACCTTTACTTTATCCAATGTATGACTGCTGACGTTTAATGAATTCGAAGGGGGATTTGCACGATTTAATGATGTGGTAGATGATGACGACGTCAGATCACCGCCTCCGCCACCACCAGAAACATTTATCACTTGACTGCCAGATGTCATTGATATGATGTCGGGTTTTATCATTGTTGCAAGGGGATTTGATGTTAGACTGAGATTGCTATAAGCATGTGAACTTGCAGTTGACATATTTATTTAATTTTCACCGTTTCGCTTTAGATAAGATTATATTTAACATAATTGGTGCCCAATAATCACTCTACAAAAAATAATAAAGATTACTGTCTGGATTTACATATTTACATATAGGATAAAATACCTGTGTAAGTTTGTGAAATAGGTGAATAAAGACCTTGTTGAAAAAGTCTCTATTAAGTCGTGACAACAACCAAGAGATATATAAACTTTGGAGCCCCTGAAAGACACATATTTAACATTACGAGTGACTGTACTCCAACAGAACTTCACCTCGTCACAATCTATTTGTACATCAAGCGAGGACTCGTCAAAACAACCTACGAACTGGGAAAGCACACTTTAGCCCGCATACAATATAGCTAACAACGTGAGACAATAATATGAAGTGGAAAAATTAACAATAAGACTGATATACATAACTATCAAATGGTATCAAGAATTTTTAGATACACTCCTTCATTTAGGTCATACAGTTACTACGAGCAAATTTGAATCGAACATCGGAGTAGTGTGAAAGCTGTAAAAAATGTAGTTCAGCAAGATTCCAATCATAGAAGCTTAAGGTTTTGCGATCAACAATACGCGCTATCTGCTTGTGATATCATAACTTGGTGAAATATGGCAAAATTTTACACAGAATTTAAAAATATGACAAAGTTTACTTGACCGTACCGATTCTTTAAAACACTTCATCAATTAAGTTGGATGAGAAATACCAGGAATATATTCTTTATGTGGCACGCATAATTATGAAGGGCTTTCAAACGATTAGACGAGGGTATGTTCCAAGTACTCTATGCAACATATGTCAGGCCTCATCTAGAGTACTGCATACAAGCGGTGAGTCCATGCTTCAAAAAGGAGGCACATACCCTGGAAAGAGTACAGAGGGTAGGAACCAAATTAGTTAATGGCATCTCACACCTTCCTTATGATAAGAGGATGGAGCATTTAAATCTCTTCCCATTATCATACCGAAGGAGGAGAGGCGACTTAATTTTGGCTTACCGTATACTCAAGGGTGATTTAGGGATTGACCATTCAAACCTTTTCTCTCCCTCTAGGATACATTTACGGGGTCACCAGAAGAAGGTGCTCAAACCGAGGTCGAATAAAATAGGTTTGGAGTTTAGATTCTCTCACAGAGTGGTCAACGGCTGGAACTCCTTACCTGATTCAGTAGTAACAGCTCCATCGGTGAACGCTTTCAAAGAGAAACTGGATCTCTGCAGAGATATATATCGCGAGGATTAACATAGGCAACAAGAGCCTTCTATCCTTATAATCTGAATCTGAATCTATGATGAAGACATGACAGTTCAGTGTAAAAATTCAGTAGCAGCTAACCGAATACTAGATGGGCATTACAATCTCCAGTGATAAATAAAACACTAATCAATATAGTTATTTACTCTCCGCAATTGATCTCTGAGGCCGAACAAATGAAGTGTGGAACTTAGGCTTCCTTATAGGGTAATTAACCATATGAACTTAGAATAAGAACTAGTAGTGTTAGCTCCTTGAACCACCACTTTCTACAAGAATTTATGCAGGCTACTAGCCAAATATCCTAAATTTAGACGATATCGTGAAGGGGGTTAATATTAGCATTACTTTCTACTGATAACTATTATTTGCCAGGAAGATGTTTTATGAACGACTGTATGAGTCACACCTACTGTTTGTACGAGGGCTGAGACCACAGAATAGTTGTCTGTGACGAAGCGGAAGATTCAAATCAGAGATCCAGTGGGTGGAAGCCGAACGCTCAAACCAATGAACCAAATCTTTGCACAAAAATACTTAGAAATAGCGAACATCCTCAGAACCACCCCTGGGAATTTCAGCAGCCAACACTAGAATCATGAGTTACATTTGGTTTTACCCGTGTACACTTCCCCTTGGTCATATTTCAGGTAAATGTGAGGGTGTTATTTTTGTATTTATCTACACAACGATGCTTAAGAAGACGGATCCCATAAGTCGTAGTATAAAGGTATCGAAAGTGAACAAATTTCCCAAAACATTGAGTAACTATGGTAATATCACCGTATCATACGGGTCAATCTATTCAGAGAAACTCAGTTAATTCTGCTCTCATATCCACAGTCTAATCTTCAGAACTGATAACAGTTATTCATGCTATCCCTGTGAATTTTCATATTAATAACAGTATTTCCCCTTGGCCACATGCACACGTACAAACCGACAAACAGCTGTCAGCTTACCGAGAAAACTTTGTTTTGAGCGCTAAGCGAGGTGAAGGTCTTCTGCTAATATTTGCTGTAAATATTTGACGCCAATGTTACAATGTCCTTTATTGATACCATAGTTACGGCGTATAAGTGATCTGGGTTTTAGTGACTTAGAACTTAAATTTTTCAGATGAACTGGGTAATCCCGAGCAAATATCAACTTGGGTAACTCAATCAATCCTTAAAGGACGGGAACAACGCCCCTCATTAATAAACTGATTCATAGTCTTAACATGAGGGAGTACGGATCATGGAATAAATTTATCCCCACAAGGACTTCAGAGGCAATGAACATTCACGTGGAGGCACAAAACACGAAAGATTACTCGTGGGATCAATAAATGGTGAACTACAATTTGACGGCCGCTATCAAGGAATCTCTATGAATTGAGAAACGCCAGGTTCAAGCAAAAAGAATTGCGCATTGCTTTGCAAGCATTCTTAATCGGGAGTCATCCCTACACTCTGAATCAGATCTAGCTGGGTCACTAATGAACAGCATTATTTTATTTTCATAATTATTGTCCATGCCCTGACTTTCGAGTGAAACACAAAGCTTCAGAAGCACATCTTCATTTCGCTAGGTTCTCTACAATTATTTTCGACTGGCTCCGCGACTATCCAAGAGCTTCCATTTCATCTTCGCGTGACATTCCTCATTTAACCTGTTAAAGCAGTGGAAGAGAGTTGTCCTGTGGAGTCCTCAAAAATAAACTTATCCAACTTTTACTACTACGTGAGAAATGAACATATTGTACATTACTTTGTTTTAACCAGAATCTCCGTACTTTGTACTTAACCTCGTGTTTTGAATGAAAATATAGTTCTGCCTACAACTCTCCGTCTTCTCCACCATCTCAGCTGCCATCGGCCAATTCTAATTACCTATCTTCTATTGCAAAATTTCGCAGGGACGCCGTAATTCCTCCCTACGTTACCTTGGTCGACCTCTGGCAATATCGACATTGGAGAATTAAGATTGGAGCAGTCTTCTTACAATACTTCTGGAGTCTGTTAAGTAAATTGTGGATTTTGGACCTTGTAATGACCCAAGTAACAAATTTTGATATATTCCTCCAGTAACTTTACGGACTTAGTATTTTTTATTTCTATTCGAATCCGGGATGTTAAGCTAGCTAAGTCTAAGGTCCGACACAGTTCTGCTGTAGGGACTCATAAATAGTGCATTCTATGGAGACCCAGAAGTATTGAATAACCGAGAAATTCAGGAGAATAGAACGAATAAACAAATGGGAACCATATTTTCTTTATGATCTATAATTAATCAACGCCCTTCCGTTTGTATGACTAGGTACTGCCTACTTCACTTACCCTCTGCCGTGCTTACGAAAACAAATGTCCGTAAACAGCGTAAGTCTTCTGTTTTATTAAGAGCCGTCAGTCAGTAATTTGAGTAATTATTTTGATATAAACGTTGGTTTCTGGACTTTCCACTATCTCCAGTGGTGTGGACTGACAGAGCCCACTAAGGTTAAGGCCAGTATTTCTACTTTTAGTAGTATCGATAATCTTGGAAATCCTGACTTACAGATGAAACACTCCATGAAACGCAACGTTGCTTCACGAGAGGTAAATTGTGAGTAACAAATCTATCATTAGGATTGAATGGCTGAATAGCATGTTGGGTGTGTATGGTAGAGACAATGTCATAATCCCGATTTCGCAAAACCATTCTACATTGTTCACCAGAATATTATCCTTCACTAAAGGTAAGGCCGGTACTGCTGCCCTGAAAATTATTTCTGTACGAAAGTCAATCGTGTTTGATCATTTTGGCACCGTTCAGCTTCGCGGATATCACAGAGTTATATCCTTAGTCCACAGATGTTTTGGATTCTCATCAGTGATCTGTCATTCTCTCTAATCTTTTGACTCTCGTTTGCACCGATGATATATAGATTTGAAGAGTAATAAAGTGGTCGGAATGCCCAGACAGCATACCAGAAGACTGGGCATTCGTCAGCTGTATGACTTTCAGCTTGAAAAATCCAGACTAGTGCGACTAAGCGTCTTCAGGCTGCATATTGTAAGTTACTCTTTGTAACGGGTAACTTCTGCGTGACGTCAGAGTGCGGTTTAGGTCTAGTTCTAACGGAAAAATACACCAGTGTGAATTACATGGATGACGTGGAGTAGGGAGAAAGCGACTATATATTTCACGCGTAGACAGTTAGGTGTTCTCACCCCTGAGATTTGTCTAAGGCTGTACCAAACATACGTAAGACCACACCCTGAAGGACACAATATCGCTGCTTCCCCGCCAGTTAGAAGAGATGCCAACCTCTTGGGAGGAGTCCAAAGATGGGCAACAAAAGGGGTTTTGGGTATCCGAAATAAACAATATGATGAACATCTGAAGAGTTCTCCTCACACTTAGCTACATCAGCCCAGGGGTGACTTAATTACTGTCAATAAAATTATAGATCACCAGAATCACCCAAACACAGATATTTGACCATTAGGTATATATAGACTATCTCTTTGTAACCCATTAAGTATACTGCAACACAACGAAGGCTCAAGTGCGCTACCATTTCCCTTCACTTGTGGCAAGCTTCTCCTGGTACTTTAGCCTGCAGATGGGGACACTTCACTTTCCCTAAAAAGCTTTAAGAGGAGGCCGGACATTCCTTCATTGACACAAGAACTGCGTTCCAAAGGTCTGTCTCCTTAAAACTAACACCTTAAGTGAGCATTCACTCAAACTCGTCCTATCAATACTGCTCAAAATCCTGTCTATTCATTCACTCATTATATATATACATTAATTTCAAATTTTGGCATCTTTCTTGTTTCAAGTCTGCAAGATTATTATGATCTCTCTTCTCGACCACACTGAACTACTAACGGGTCAACAAACACATCGCCTACTACGAACCCAATATAACGAATTCCGGTACCACTCTTTTGGAGTCAGCCAAAACTACAATAATCGAGTTGGGGGACAAACTACAAGAAAGTTTGGCAAAGGTCACAAGCATTTAACTTACAACCAAGAGGCAAGTAGGAAGACAGTTTAATTTACATTAATTCTTGAGAAGGATGCCATATATTGGAAGCCTCGAACCTACACCCTAGTGTTCGTCTTTCATTTAGATCCCCCGAAGCATTTGTGCGTGGTATTACCCGATAATCGCTTTATCATATGTCCTATCCATCCCCATTTCTCTCCGTACACCTGCCAAGTGGTGTGTGTGTCTTAATTCAGAGAAGGCAGTTGCGGATGAGAGTGTACTTTATGTGACATGCGGAGTCCCTGAACTATATAGGGGCACGAAGTCCACACTGGCGTTAAACAGAGTCCTGACTTTGTTTCTGATTTTGAGTGATGTAGACCTCCACACCGACTTCATAATAATGAATACTTGTCTTGCTTTCTTGACTTAGTCATCCATCCCACTTGCAGTTGAAGCAATCCAACTAATGTAGGTGAAAGAGATGGCCCTCTTTAGAATTCTTCCACCCATCCCGACCGGAATTTGTTAACCGTAAGAAGTATACAGCTCCCAAACTAACTCAGGTGGTAATGAGATTAGTCTGGCCAGCATACTGGGGGAAATAGGTGGCACAGCCAGCGTCGTAGCCGAATTGCAGGTGTTCAAATAGAAATGGCTAAATGGCACTCACGAGTGTTATTTTTAGCGGGGAATGATCAGAAAATGAGTTTTAAGTCACCTCAAATGTTCAACTTAACGACCTCTTCAACAATCACTGTGTCGTTAACCCTCAGGACAAACCCTTATAAGAAGTGGTGCCCACTTTACCAGTAAAATTATTCAAAAGGGGAGATCACTCAGTAAGAAAAGGCTTTAAACAATAACTCCACGATGGAGAGATCGTAATTCTCATTTTCCTGTAACAGAGAAATTCAGGACGTGTTTTCAATACCGGAGATGATATATCAGTTCAGTGTACCTGCCTTCCAGTATGTGATCTCTCTTTCACCCTGACTTTAACCCAGAAACGGTTGTTGAAGATATATATGGATCACGAACAGGCAGAATAGTGGACATAGGATTTTGCCATTAGCCACAACTAATCAAAATAACACAGTATCTACTGTCAGACACCCAGAAAGTGGCCTTATTAGGATAGACTGTGTTAGCATAAACAGAGTTTTTTGGTTCAGTGAGATCAAGCAGCAGGAAGATCGAAGATTTCAGCTGGTACTCCAAATTTCGCACTTTAGTACTATGGCTTGCTGCATCTTCAACGTAGACGTTTTTCTGTCTATACTCCACAGAGCAATCAAGTCCTTGTATACGGTGTAACTGTCATCTGAAGAGGCTTACTCTAACACTATGGGGATCAAGGCGGACGTCCAACAAACAATTGGTGTTTAATGTATTATGGAAGTGGTGGTCACACTATGTCGTCAGTGTGTGTCCCTCTAACTCAAAGTCATATCACCCACCTGAAAACAACCTGTGACAGACGCGGGATTGTCATTTTATCTTCATTACCTGGTTGCGGTGGCCAACGAGCGAGGTGGGAAGGTTAAATCGGAAGCTCTCTGTGTGGCCAAGGTACAGACTCAACCGGGATAAATTTAAGCAGAATTATTTCTATCCTAGGTTAAAGAGTATAACAGCTTTGTGCAAGGAGATATGAGTAACTGGCCCTACTGAACACTACAGCTCAACAGCAATCCGAGTAACTTTGAAGTGAAAGTAAATTGCGAAGTAATGCAATACACCAAAACCAAAGGACTTCTAGTATTCGAAAGGTGGAATTCGACAAAGTGCTGTAGTCCAGACATTCTGGTTCGAACAAGGTCTTCCTTCATCTACCTGGTAATGCGAAGTCAGTATCTCTATATTTCTTGGTGTGTTCCATTGAATCACCAGTTCTCCGATTTTCCCCACAAACTAAAGGTAAAATGACAACAACCATGTTATTTAACCGTAATCGATGTACTTTAAATATGTAACTTAAATAATTCTTATCCATTCCTATACAACTTGTGTGTCCTATATTTGTATGAATAAATATTATATTATCATTACTAA